GGGGGGGGGGGGGGGGGAGGAAAGAAGAAGAATCTTGGAACTTTTCAAATTCCTTATCATATTCGTTATTCCATAAATTTGGTAAAGCTCGTCTTCTAGTATTGTTGCCAAAAATTACATATCGAAATACAAACTTGCTATAATGAACTTCCATCTGTGGGCTTATTTCTTTTGTGCCAATAGGTTGGTCTTGCAGTTCAGCAAACAGTAAATCAGAGATTTGGAAAATGCCTACTAGAACTAAGCGGAAATAATGCAATAATAGTAATGGATGATGCGGACACTGAACTTGCTGTTCGTTCTGTTTTATTTGCTGCTGTTGGTACGGCTGGTCAACGCTGTACAACGTGCCGGAGACTGGTATTGCATTAATTGGTTAAATCCCTTTCATTTTGCTGTATAAAGCTCTCACTTTCAAAACTTCTTAAGTACTGTTTTTCTTCATATATCTTCTTCTGCTTGAAGCTTGTTCACGAGACAGTTTATGAGAAGGTACTTGAACCACTAGTTGATGTGTACAAGCAAGTAAAGATAGGGGACCCTTTAGAAAAAGGTACCTTACTTGGGCCACTGCATACTCGCACTTCTAGGGAAAACTTTCAGAAGGGAATCCAAAATATCAAGTCCCAGGTATGTCCCGATTCTTGAGACTTTCAATTCCCATTCCTAAATTGGCATTTGCTAAAGTTACACAATTTTATCCTCCTAAGAATAGCTCTAGTAAAGTGTCAGATCATAGTGGTCATAAAAAAAATTTAAAAAGAAAACAGAAACCATATTTTGGTAACTCAGCAGGACTTAGGACCATATCTGTATAATGGAATTGGACTTTTTCCCTTTTCAACAGAAAGAAAAATGTGAGTGAAACTTTGTTTTTTTCAAATTAAATGCTTTGCAGGGTGGAAAGATCCTTACAGGTGGTTCGGTCATAGAATCTGAGGGTAACTTTGTGCATCCAACAATTGTTGAAATATCTTCAAAAGCTGAAGTTGTGAAGGAAGAATTGTTTGCTCCAGTTCTTTATGTAATGAAGTTTAAGGTATTTCCTTTCAAAGATATTGACTTTTCAAGATGACCAATGACTTTCTGTCCCCATATTTGGTAAAACTTTTTTGGATTCTGTTTCTCATTCCAAACTTTCTGCTTTCAGACTTTCGAAGAAGCAGTTGAAATTAACAACTCTGTCCCTCAAGGTTTAAGTAGTTCCATCTTCACCCGAAATCCACAATTTATATTTAAGTGGATTGGGTAAGCAATCTATAACGTTTTTGAGCATGTGGTTTAGATAACTTTTCCTTCTCATATATAAATTATAACCCCTGGTTCTCTCATGCCTATATGTGTTGCAGAGCTCAAGGAAGTGACTGTGGCATCGTCAATGTAAACATACCAACAAATGGAGCTGAAATTGGTGGTGCTTTTGGAGGTGAAAAAGGTACTGGTGGTGGCCGTGAGGCAGGAAGTGATTCTTGGAAACAATATATGAGGCGCTCAACGTGGTAATCATCGCTTTCTCATTTAATATATTTGCATGCTGCATTCGCGGAGGCTCACTGTTCAAACTTATTGCTTCATGTTGCAGTTTAAGCATCTTGAATTAGTTACTACTATGTTGTAATTATCATAGATTTTTGTGTCTTATAACTCTCATCACTGAATGTCTTATCTGATGTTTTTTGCTGGCTTGCTTGGGGTTATTCCCTGCCATTGCAGTACAATCAATTATGGGAATGAACTACCATTGGCGCAAGGAATCAACTTTGGCTAACAAAATTGGTGGGTTATTGCATTACTGTATGCTAAAGTTGTCTTATAGCAGTTAAAATTTCGCGTTGCTCTAATTAATCCAAGTGTTGTTTCAGGCGCAGAACTTCGCGATCTGCTCTTGGATTATCGTGCTTTTGAGCGCGTCCATGGTTTGATACTTACTCCAAGTACTTGTAATTGGCCCCGAATCACTTAAATGTACTTCCCTTGCAACTCAATAAAGTGATACTCATATTAAAACCAAGTGTGTTCTAATGATTACTATCAGGTCGCCCAATCAATGAGTTTACTTGGCTGCTATACTTGAAGAGTTGTTAACCTAATCTCATAAATAGAAAACAACACTTGCATTATTGGTGGTTAGAAGTCAATTATATAGACTCCTAATCTTATGTAAACCACTAATAAGTTATGTTTCTCAATCATTTTGATATATTATATCGAATGATTGAAGCGACTTGTCCATATGGTAGTCCCTCCGGATCCTCCTCTGGAAACTTCATGACATATATAGACAAATTTGTTTGATATTTGAAAAATCAAACTATTTCTAAAAGTCGGAGTACACGGGCAGTCAATCAAACTTTTTACCCTTACAATCTCTTTTCTCATTTATGATTGTGGTCACTGATGTTCAGGTCAGTTTGTGCGCATCTCGACTAGTTTGTCGGATATCTATTAACATAGGTATTTGGCAACTATGCATTAAAAGTAGAGAGTACTTGCTAAATAGTTCTCAAATTAAATAAATGGTATGAACTAAATATGCCAGGTAGGGCTATGCATAATTTGGTTAATACCGAATTATTGTACTAATGCTATGCATAATTTGGTTAATACCGAATTATTCTACTGAATGCTATGCATAATTTGGTTAATTCCGAATTACTGTGCCAAAACCAAAAATTGGTATATGGTGTTTGATATTTTGGTATTAAAAAGTTACTATTAGGTATGGTATTCGGTATTAGTCTGCAGCGTGTCCATCATTTATTCATGTCTATGATTTCATTAGTCAAGAAATCTACACATTCATTTGCTATCGTAGAGAACTGCTTCAAGGAATGATCAGTTGATCAAAGTCCAAAAGAAACACCTCCTGAAGTACTTAATTGTGATTGACACAACTTGTTCTATCATTGCAGACTACAGTTAGTTTATGCTGTTCATACCGGAATCAATCTAATAAATCCAAAAAGCATTGGGGTTTGTTTACAGTTTGATTGTTTGGAAGTTCATGAGCCATGCTTCTTTATATTCAAATAATAATAGCAATAAAGATGAGGACAGAAAAACTCGATTAATCACCATATCGATATTGCAGATATTTCAGTTGACTGTCTAAGAAGTAAGACAAGACCATAATTGAGTTCGGTGGTGATAACAAATGGAGTAAAAATGATTGAAGTCGGTCCGAATGGAACAAATCAGGATGGGACTATAACCCCCCCCCC